AGAGAGAGAGAGAGAGAGAGAGAGAGAGTGTGTGTGTGTGTGTGTGTGTGTGTGTGTGTGTGTGAGAGGTTAAGGAGGAAACACTTCAAAAAATGAAAAATTGAGGAACACCATAATAACTATTCATATGTGCACATAAGTAGTCAAAGATGTTTCCTCGTTTTCAAGCATATTATGCATATGTGCATACCAGACAAATTTCTTCACAACAAAACAAAGAAACTTCACCGATAGAAAAATTTGTCGGTAATCTACTGAAAAATGCCATCACCGGCGGATCTCATTATCAAAGATAGTGTGGCCAGTAATCGTGATTATCGGTAGATTTTCAGTCATAAACGGAAAAATCCGTCGGTAATTCGTCAAAAATCAGTGAGTAATTACCTTCAGAAATATCCTTTGTAATAATCCGTCTGTTAAGTCTTTTATTTTGTAGTGCTTGTATACACGTGGAGTTATCGTTATTTGGGTATTTTTTAGGTTTTTATATGTTTGTAGTTTTTATGTGAATCTAACCCATATATAATTGTTGAAAGTTAAAAAAACAACTATTAAAAAGACGTAATACTCATAACTCATTAATCATTATATCCTTTTGAAAGTCAACATAGCTAGTTAATAATCAACTATAAACAAGTTAAAATACATGGTAATAATTGAAGTTCTACTAAAATGACGTAATACTCATTAATCATTATTTATTTGTTTTCATATTTTTTAATCAAATAAATTATTTTATTAATAAAACTAAAATAAATTGCATTCTTGTTTTCAAATCTAAAATATTTACATCGTAATAAAATTTTGATTTATATAATTTATATCAACAAAACATGAATTTTATAATAATTAATTTTGTCATTCATATTGAAATATTTTTCAAATTCTTTTACACCACTTTCAAATTAGAAAGATATGTTCAATCATTATTTGTAATTACTATTTTGTTCATTATAAAATTTCATGGTTTCTTTTTAATGAAAAGTTATATTAATTTTTTATCATCATTTTACAATAAAATCTTAAATCCTGCTATATCGTAAGGTTATACAAACATATCTGACGTTCCTATCAAAATTTTATAAAGGCCCATTTTTTTTTTGTATTTTTCATACCCCTACAATATATCTCTACAAAAAGATGTATGCATATGATTTCATCAAACAAAAACTTGCCATACCACAAGAAATGAAAATCATTCGTACATTTTTTTACGTGTTTTTATATACACCTTTTTGTATTGAAGAATTATATATATTAAAATTATAAATATAAATCTTGATTTTGTTGAATGTAAAGTGGAAATTAATAGAGATGTGTGCATTAAGCATCTAGAGACAATATATGCATTTAAAATCACCCATTTTCTAGCAACCATTATTGTTCGTATTATTAGATACAAGATTTGAAACAGATAATACAAAAAGAAAAGGAATCATTAAATCTTATCCATATGCAATGTTTTTGACAGAACTCTATGTTCGTTGTCTTCATGTTTACTAAAAACCAGAACACTAGAAATCTATTGGCATGGTTGGTTTAATTTTCAACCTCTCTCTATCAACCAACTTAAAATATGAAGCCAATAGCACCCCGTGTCTCCCCTTGGACTATGTTGTGTATCATATATTCTAACCATTTCACAGTTTGCAACTTGTAGTAATATATATATATATATATATATATATATATATATATATATTATATAACACAAGTGGTTATCATGAATGAACAAGAATGTCTTTTTCTTCGAATATTATGTGTCAGCTTATTTTGGCAAAATCTATGCAAACAAGAAAAATATTTTATTTTGTTTACAAAATCATACAGGTTTTATATCCATGCAACATTTTGTTCCAAGGAAAGTGATTTAAGAATCAATTTTCAGATTTTGTTTGACCAAATTTTAAATAATGTTTTCGGATGGATACTGAATTCGATAAAAAATGTTCAATTCTCTTACAAAACAAATTTATCACTTTTTACCAGATGAAATAATTATTTTTATCCATTTTAATTTTAATTTCAATAGAAGTTAATTTTGATTGAGATTACTAAAACTTCCTCCAATCATCAAATATTCTTCTTCTTCTTATCATCTAATGATTTGTTGTAGTGACTTAGTTTAAAGACTAACACGTCTGATTCTTAGCTATATATGGAAAAAAAATTACGCTTAACAACATACAATACTTGATTCAAAGTTGTAGCATGCTACAACCAACAAATCCTATGATAGAATGGACGTACTTGTCATACCTTAGAGGAAATACCGTAGGGCCTTTACATACATTAAGAATCTTATTTTTTAACATAATTTTAACTACTTATCTTGTGTAGTAGTAAGATTCTTCGTCATATAAGGAACATGCCAATAGTCGATGTTTTTGATAAGATCGTCAAACATTCTCAATCTATTGTGACTAACCACTTCTACTAATAAAAAAATATCATCTCTCAAATAGATTTTTCGCATATCACTTATAAGCAACAAACCGATGTTTTATACGGAAGTATGACTCAATACCTCAAACACTTTGCACAAGTTTTGAATGTTGGGTTGTGGGTCAAATTAAAAGCAACGATAAAGGCATTGTATATGTCCGTAGAAGACTCATTGTGGACATCTGCAATAACTACTTTTTGGTATGCGTTGTTTCGTATCACTTGTTCTACCCATTGTTAAACGCACAAAAAGATTTATATTCATAAACTTAATTTATATCATAAAAGAAGGTAAAT